CTCGCCGAGCTGCGCGACAACAAAGTCAACATCTACGAGTTCCCTATTGACGACGAAACGGTGTCCGAGTCGAACGACTCGATGAACACCCATGTTCCCTTCGCTGTCGTCGGCAGCACAGAGTTCGTGAAGGTCGGCAGCAAGATGATTCGCGCGCGCCAGTATCCTTGGGGCACGGTGCATATCGAGAACGAGGCTCACTGCGACTTTGTGAAGCTGCGAGAGATGCTCATACGCACCAACATGGAGGATTTGCGGGAGCTGACTCACACCCGCCACTATGAGCTCTACCGCCAGCGGCGGCTGCAACAGATGGGCTTTGTGGACGTGGATAGCAACAACAAGCCGGTGTCTTTCCAGCAGACATTCGAGACGAAACGCACCAATCACTTGGCCTGTCTGCAGGCCAAGGAGGAGGAAGTGCGTCAAATGTTTGTGCAGCGCGTCAAGCAGAAGGAGAACGAGTTGAAAGACACCGAGAAGGAGCTGCACACCAAATTCGAGTGCCTCAAGAGGGAGCATCTGGAGGAGAAGACCCACCTGGAGGAGGCTCGTCGCCTGCTGGAGGAGGAGTGCCAGGAGTTGCAGCGCCGCAAGCAGCAGCTCTCCAATGGCAGCAGCCACCTAGCCACTCTGACCCTGGGTCGGGGCAAGAAGAAGTAAAGTAGTTTCACATTACCTGAGGGGGAATAAAATAAGTGCAAAACCATTTGCAGTACCTAGGATTAAGTGGCATATTTTCCATGAAACAATAAATGCAAAGAAAAGCGAAACATATCTGCAACTCTCTCTTGATTTCCCGGAATAGCGTACCTTGACGGATCTGGTTTGCCCACACCCGCACCCTCTCAGGCGCATACATACAGGCATATGTTGGCTGCTCAACGGCCTGCCAAGTGTTGATAACAACACACACACAAAAGTCTGGGCCTGCACACACTCACACGCACACACGCTCATCGGTGAACTAGTCTACGGGCCGAGGAGCGGTAAAACAGAAATAATATTATAAATATGCTAAAATGGCAAGTCGTCGCGCAGTTGTTAGTCATTCCGATTCTGACGATGGCAGCGAGTGGTATTAAACTGGAAAGCGGCGACGGAAAATGCCTGTTGGACGCTGGCACCGTGCCCCCGGCGGATCTGGCACGCTACGACCATTACCGCATCTACAATGTGCAGTTTGACAACCAGGAGCAGATCGAGTTGTTCCAGAAGCTGGAGGAACAGAGCGACAGCCTCACATTCATCGGCCATGCCCGCGAGATTGGCCAAAAGTTGTCCATTCTCGTGGCGGCGCATCGGGTGGCAGACTTTGCCGATCTGCTGAAGACCTACAAGTTGAAATATCGCGTTCTGGTATGGCATTACGGCTGGATCGATTCTGTACATAGACTTAAATTTGAGCTCTTTGCAGACGTACAATTTCCAGGAAAAGATCGATCGCAATATGCGCGAGGTGCTGCCCGAAAGCATTGATGCCACGAAGTACGACTGGCAGCATTTCTTCCACCTGAAGACCATCTACGGTTGGATGGATGCGATGGCAAAACAGCATCCCAATCTGTTGACCGTGCTTGACATGGGAAACAGTACCCAGGGCCACACCATTAAGGGATTGAAGCTGTCCAGCAATCCGGAGAACAAGGCCATCTTCATTGAGAGCGGCATTCATGCTCGCGAGTGGATTGCACCGGCCACCGCGACGTACATCATCAATGAGCTGCTCACATCGCAGGACGCTGGCGTGCAGGGGCTGGCGAAGAACTACAACTGGATCATATTTCCCTGCGTGAATCCTGACGGCTACAAGTACACCTTCGAGCATGACCGCATGTGGCGCAAGAATCGTCAGCTGTTCGGCACCTGCCGCGGCGTAGACCTGAACCGCAACTATCCCGATCACTGGAACTCCACCGGCTCCAGCAGTGACCCGACGCGCTATGACTTTGCTGGTCCCTCGGCCGGCAGCGAGCAGGAGACCCAGTGCCTGCTCCAGTTCATACGCAGCAATGTTCAGAAGGAGCAGATCAAAACGTACATCGCACTGCATTCGTACTCGCAGATGCTCATGTTCCCGTACGGATACACCAAGGAGCGTGTGTCCAACTACGACGACCTGCAGGAGTTTGGCAAGAAGGCGGCGGCCGCCATCAAGGCGGAGAGTGGACGCGACTATGTCAGCGGGAGTCTCTACGAGACCATCTATCCTTCGAGCGGTGGCAGCATGGACTGGGCGCATGCCGAGGCGGGCATTCCCATTGCCTATACATTCGAGCTGCGCGGTCCGCCCGACAGCCAGGACCTATTCATACTGCCCGCCGTGGAGATACAGCCAACGGCCAGCGAGGCCTTCACCGCCATACGCACCATTGTGGAGGCCGCCGCCGAAAAGGGCTACTACAATTAGGAAGCCAAGATCGCAACACCAATCTCTATCCGTTCAACGATATAGACAGACTTTAAGTACTAAGTGTATCTGACATATGATAATATCTTTATCTTTACTGTAATAAAAGCGTATAAAAAATAACTTGAAGTCTTCAAGATAAGCCCACTTAAGGTTTATGAGGCCTGCGGTTTAATTATTGTTGACGTCTGACATTTTCACAGCCCTGGATATGTGGTTTCTCGGCGATAGGCGGGGATCGAAGATAGCCTGAAGCTCAACCAGACAATCTGCAAGAAAGAAATGTACTTGTTAGGGAGTCACATACAACTAAAAAGGTTCCGAGGATACCATTCTCAGACAGGAACAGAGCACGATCGTAGAGGATAATGCTTTCCACGAGCGGCGCAAGCATCAGACGAAGCGTATAGAAGATAACGAGCCGCTGCCAGTGCTTCACGTCTGCATTGCATTGCTCAATACCCAGAACCAGGGGATCTAGCGTTTCAAATCGAGTTCCCTGCACGGCTTTCTGGAAATAACTACAGAAAATACCACCTGGGCATCGAATTATTAGGATAACAATAGAGAGGGTGTCTCACTTACTCGTGGAAAGACATTCCGGGGGCATGCTTCACGTTGCGGAGCGCACAGTGTCGCAGATGTGGATACTGCTGAACGATAATGCGTTCTGCGGCGGCACGAAACGAGTGTATTTTCAGATAGTCATGTTGTCCAGCCTGCAAGCGGTCACGGTACACCTCCATGGCATGGCAAGAGATCTCCCTGGCCTCGTAGCTGAGGTGCGTATCTGTTGCTCGCTTGCACTGCAGGAACGAGCTCAACGGATAGCCATGCACCTCCACCCTGGGATGCGTTGTTGGAGTTGTCATCTTCTGGTAGCAGCAGCCAACAAAATTCAGGAACTTGGCCTGCGTACACCCTAGAAACATTCGCATCAGCGTCGCCCCCAGGTTCCCACAAGGATGCAGGCCTACAATGCCAAAACGAAAGTCATCGTCTGCCAGTTGCAGGGCATCACGGATCCCAGCGATGAACTGCGCCGGTTGCGTGTTACTCTCCAGACGCTGAGTAAGATGTACTGGCCGCTTGTAGCCGCTGGCTTCCGTGATCTTGGCTGCAATTGATTCCAGTTTCCCATCAATGGCCATTGCTTGCTTATTCAGCTCGGGCTGCATCTCGAAACAGCAGACTTTTATGCCAAATCCATAGCCCAGAATGCGTGCCAGGTGTCCAACGCCGGCTCCGAAATCGACAATAAAGTCCACTGGTGTCCTCCGGCAGCTGATGGCACAAATCTCAGCCATGCGGGTGATTTCATGCTGCTTCTTGGGCTTGACACGTTTCATGAACAGGTGCTTCAGCTTTTGATGATGAAGCAGCGGGCAAGGAACCGACTCCTGCATGTGAGGAGATGATTAACAACAAGACCCCACTCAGTCTGGCTAGAGTTTACCAACTTTGGGCTGATTCTCCTGTGTCCGGCTAATGCAATGTCTGCGAAGAACTTCCCGCAGCGCCAACACCTCCAGTGGCCAAACTGTGCTCGTATTTTTGGGACCACTTTCACAGTCATCTGTGTGGAGTAGCGCTTCAAACATTTCCAGGGGAATGCCTTCCAGGTCACGATGCCAACTAGCCGGCAGCTTGCTCCAATGGTCATCTACATAAAAGTCCTATGGGGGGAGCAGTCAAATAATAAAACTGTGCAAAATTGGAACAATCTTCTTACCAAGACGTAAGAGTTCAAAAGCCATTCGTACTTTTTCAGCAAACCCAAAGCGGATTGCAGTTTTTGTTTTGTTGACATTTAGTTTTTGTTCTTTTTTAAAGAATTTGTTTTTTTTTTATGAAATCATCGCATGGGATCCTTAACGATGGTAGTTTAATTGTCTTGTTGGTACAATTAAAAATTGTATGCGATGAGCTACGATAGTATCGCAAGAATCACAAATGTTACCCATGTGGCAAAAAATAACGACAACACCAAATATAACTTTTATGCTGTTTTGATAATGAAAAACAGTTTATTAACTTGTCTTGTCGTGCCGCCGATTCTTTTTCCACTTTTCTTATTTTTTATTGAGATGGGCGACAATCGACCATACCACACGATGGTTACGAAATATCGATAGCAGGCTGACATTAATAGGGGTGAGAGCGTGATGATGGTTACAAATTTAAAATTTTGATTTCTTATCATTAATGAACCAGCAAGACGGTCTGTTGACCCTTTTAGCGTTAATGACGTTTAGCTTATTTCTATTTAGGAACCATTGTTTTAATGAGGTTGAGGGAAAAAGTGAGCAGTATCCCCTGCGTTTAACGCTGGAAAACTCGGCATACTCTCTCTCCAATATTGCATCTTTAAGGTTCCATTTAACGTGTTCTTATGGATGTCGGCGTGGCCGGGTATGAAATGGGTACCTTCTTTAGGTATTGGGCTTGACGGATCTGATTTTGTAAGTAATAAAATTATCCTGAATACTCCTTTCCAGGGTTAGAGCCCCGTTTCTGCTGTCCGTCTGCTGGCCAAAATATATATCTATTGTTAGTCGCAGGAGCGGGCCAAAGATAAATTTAAAAGGTGTATGGTTTTCACAGCTCTTTAAATTAATTGTATTGTGCCTTAACTCTGCTTAAATGCTACTCGGCCTTGAGGCGTGGGTTGACCCCAGTGTCCACCGGTTCCACATCAGTCGGGTTTCTGCGCTGCTGGCGCACTCGCTCCCTGATCTGAGCCGTCTTCAGTACAATCATCAGTTGTGTGGAATTATATAGCCATGTGCCCTAAAAATATACTCTATATAAGACGTTGCGTGCTTCGCCAGACAGTCTCTGCACTTACAATCAGCAGCATGCAATTCAGCAATATTGGAATAGAGAACACAGTCGATATGAACAGGCCGTTGCTGTCAAAGTACTGCTGCCTGGAGAATGAACTCCAGTTATGGGCCGCATACTCGTTAATGCTTTCGCTGAAATATACCGCCGACACTGTAAAGGTAAACATTAAGCAGATGGCTTGGACGACGTGTACTTTGCACAGGGAAACAGCTACGTACACAGTACCAGGAAGAGGACAACTTGCATATTTGAATGGTTCCTGCTGAGTAGGGCCGTAGTGGTCGTGAGCAGGTGCAGCAAAATCAATCCAATCAGCCACGGATCCTTCCAATCGATCTGAAACAAACAAATTATACTCAACCCAAAGTATCGGCAAGGTTTTGGCGGCAGGACAGCCTCCACCGAATAGTACTCACGCTCAATAGGAATTCCCAGTAGCCGGTAATTTCGCTAACTTCAATTTGTCCTGGGTGCATTCTGGCGTGTGTATATTGTATATTTTTTTATTATATTAATATTCCAAATATGTTGAATTTATTGTTTGTTGTGGAGGCAGGCAGAGCAGTGTGACCGCGGAATTTTCGATAAAATGTACTGACAGAGCCTCGGAAATATACTGTAAATATACCATAAATCTAAAACATTTTACTCGATTCTGATGTTCTATATGATATTACTAGCTAATTAGGAGTCTCCGAGCTAAACCTATAATTTGATCGGATTTATCAATCAATTACACACACTACTACGTATTGACAGCACAGTCAAAACAAACCCAAAGTGACATTCACAAGGCAACGCCAGAGTACACGTAGTCGATGTATCGATTGTTGCCATAAAATTACTTCCTTGAAAAAGAACAAAATTAATTTTATAACCACATTACACGTGTTTTCCAGTTCACCAAACGTTAAGTTAATTGAGTTCATAGTATATTCAAGGCATGCATTTACAATTTTTAAAGTAAATTAAGGAACTTTTCAAAATATGGGGATTTGGCCGCCAATCTCCACTTATCGCACAAAAGTACTGATATTTTGCGGTAGAAGAATATACGAAGAGTAATATTTTCTGGGGTTACTCAAGCTGCTCATCTTTTTCAATAGAGAGGGGTCTAAGTGGCAGTAACTTGAATTTTTAAATTATTATCTTACTACTTATAAGTATTTTCTATTTCCAGTATTTTCAAAGGCGCGCTATGCGTCACCCGCTTGTCCAATGCACCAATGTAGAAAATATGTAAAAAACCATTTATAGTCATGTCCCAGGCCACATCTAATGCTATTTCGTAATCAGCATCAAATTTGTGATCGTTTGCCATAAAATTCTCAGTCTTGTCAAAAATTTCGAAAAAAAACATTCATTTCAAAAATAGGAAAACAAGGGTTTTTCACACTGCCGCTTCCACTAGGCGGTGTATGAAAAAATACGGCGAAACTTGTCACCAAGTACAGGTGCCTCTGCTGATAATTACATAAACACGTAGTTATCATGTATTAAATGTGTAGCTCCCGTGTAGTTATCAAGTGAAAACATATACATTTTTTTGACCTTTTTTTTTGTTAACGACGACGACATAAATAAAAAAATATCACAAAGAGCTCGCTGAAAAATAACCAAAATTTCAGTGAAAAACGGGAGAAGTAGCGTTGCAAACTATTGTGCCGTTCAGACAACGTGTGACAAACGAATTCGAAGAAAAAAACACTTGGGGAACAGTGACAGGCCGCAAACAAAAGCAGCGAAGCGAGTGCGTCTTTCAGCCACTTCACTCGGATGTGGCACGGTCTACAAAATTTCTTGTGCATCCATCACCTTCTGTGGCAGCCACCGTCGGATAGCAGAGACAGTGACAGTGACAATTTGTGCGACGTTGAAGTTGTGAGCTCATAAAGCGCAGACGACATATTTGTTCGTCGACCGCGTTGCTCGTCCGATTGCTGATTTGCTGCGGACTGTGCTCTTGGCAACTCGATGTGTGCTTGTTGCGGTTGAAAGGTCACTCAGTAACAACGACACGTAACGCCGAGAGGTTCAAGGACACGCGGCGCGGTCGTCGCGCAGAGTGTCGTCAGCCTCGAAACAGCCGCAGCGCCCGCGAAAAGCGGAAGCCGAAGCCCCACGCCCGCTGGAGGCTGAGAAGTTGCTCCAGGCATTCGAATCGGGTATCCATCTGGACAAAGGTCCAAACAAGGTTCCAGTTTACAGCCGCGGCCATGGCTGTCAAGCAGAACAACAGCGAGCCCAACGACGCCACCGATGGGGTCAACTCTGCCTCCGGCGGTGCCTCAAATGGCGCCATGCCACCCAATAGCAAGCAACCAGCTTCCAGCAACATAAAGATCTCCGACGATGGTGGCGGTGGCGGAGGCGCTGGCGGCGGCGGCGAGAGCATGGACACTAATGGCACCGGCCCCAGCGAGACGAATGACAATGGCGGCCAACCACTGAACGCGGTCACAAAGCGTGACATACAGGAGCTGCTGAGCACTCTGCAGAATCTAGATAAGTCGGAGCACTCGCTCAGTGTGCTGAGCTTCTACAAGCGGATGATCATCGAGCTGGCTCGCATGAAGCCAGAAGGCAGAACGAGCGAGGATCTACTGCGCTTCAAGGAGGAGGCGATGAATTTTGGGACTATCCTTGCCACTGCAAACGAGAAGAACTACCTCATGTACTTCCTTCTCGTCGTCTACGATCTGATCACAAAGTCCGGCGAGTCGGGCCCCTCCTATGCCGTGGCCGTTGTCTTTCACCTGTTCAGCCCGCGTCTCATCAACGAGGCCGTGCAGTCGCTGCTAGACACGAATGTAGAGGACACGAGCATACGCAAGACGGTGGTCCTGCTGTGTGAATGGGTCTGTGTGTGCAACTTCTGTCCGAACCTCAATCTCTGGGTGATGGCCCTGCTGACAGGGTTGCGCGATCAGGGCAAGCATGTGCTCCTTGACGACATTGCATTGGACTCCATCGAGAAGCTATTCAATGTTATAATGCTACCCGCCATGCGGCCCAAGGCAGCTCCGATAGTGTTCCACATGCTGTCAAACATTAATCAGACACCCGAAATATTCCGCAAGGTAATGTCCGACGCCCTGAATCCTATTAACACTTCAAATTAATCGTTCTGGTTCCCTCTTCTACAGATATTGCCACGCATACCCACGGTGCTGAATCTTCTGAAGCAGCAGTTCAACATCACGGACGAATTCGGCGGTGAGACGCGACAGTACATGCAGCAATTGGTGGACCTAACCAGTGTCCTGATGATGCGCTTCAACGAAAACAGCGAACTCTATGCATCCGTCAGGGTTGCCTTGCAGATGTACGAACCGTCACCGAATTGCGGGGATCTGGCGAGGGCCATGCAGGAGAACGCCCTGGCCACTGGACGGCGCAATGCAAGGGTGGGACTGGTGAATCTCGGCAACACCTGTTATATGAACAGCGTGCTTCAGGCTCTGGCCATGACCAGCGAGTAAGTTCTACCAGAAATAAATGTTCCCAGAGCGTCTGTTGACCGTGTTCCTTCCCCTCTCAGTTTCAGCCGCCAGATACTGCTGCTCCAGAGCGATTCGCTGCTGCTGCTAAAGGTGCAGCAACAGATTGCCCTAATGCACCATTCTATGCGGTGTGAGCTGACACCTTCGCGCGTGCTGAATGCGACAAGACCGCCGGGCTTCACGCCGGGCCTGCAGCAGGACAGCTCCGAGTTCCTTGGCTATCTGCTCGACCTGCTGCACGAGCAAGAGATCAAGAAAGATGGAGGCCACAGTCTGCATGGCAAGGACGTCGATGCCCCTGGCGAGCTGAACGATGAGATTCTGTCCAGCGGTGTCATACCCTACAACAGCAATGATCGCGAGATCGCCGGAGGCAGCAACGGCAGCAGCAGCACGAGTGCCAGGCTCAAGCCCACTTCGACACCCACCAAAGGCACAAATAGCTCACAGCAACAGCCACAGCTGCCAAAGAAGCCAACGTCAACCATTGACAAGACGTTCACCGGCAAACTGTCGACGACATACAATTGCTTGGACTGCAGCTGGGAGAGCCACATCGAGGATAGTTTCCGTGAGCTGCAGCTCTCGTTTCCGGACGACAAGGACGACTGCAGTGCCACCAACTATTCGGTGCAAGACCTGATCGAGTACTACTGCTCGCCGGAGAAGCTGGACGGCGAGAACCAGTATTTCTGTCCCCGCTGCAAGAAGCTTTGCGATGCCGATCGACGAATCGGGGTAACAGAAGCGCCACGCAATCTCGTCCTGACACTCAAGCAGTTCAAGTACGATCAGAAGTACCATTTTCGCACCAAGCTAATGCACAAGGTGTTCCACGATGAGAGTGTGAGTATAAGGAGAGGGATGAGTGGATGTCACGAGTGTATCTTAATTTTCTTTTGCCTTCGCAGCTCGTGGTTAAGATATGCTCATCCGATTCACTGCAGGAGCAGTCGGCAGTGTACTATGAGATGTACGCGGGAGTCGTGCATTCGGGCTACCACATGGACTCTGGCCATTACTTCACATTTGCAGCTGACCAGTCGAGGAACTGGTATAAATTCAACGACAACTTTGTGACCCATTCGCAGTCCGAGGAAATGCACAACCTCACCTCGCCCAACACCCCCTACATACTCTTCTACAAGATGTGCGGCCGCTCTCACGAGTCCAGCCCGACTGGCACCGAGATGGTGTCAGTGCCCCAAGTCCCACCGCTCACACTCGAGGAGCTGCCGGGCCCACTGCGTGACTATGTGAAGAAGGACAATCGGCTGTACAGCGAGGAGTTGCGCTCTCAGCGCTTCGCGGGCAATAACGGTGCCAACGGCCATGGGTTTGTGACGCGCAACCGATATGACGGCGACGATGAGGATGATCGTGCTCCTCCGCCCTCTGGCGGTTGTGGTGGCAATGATCTGGGCATGAATGTAAATCGCTTTGTTTACTGAGGAGTCAAAGCGAACGGCGGCGTGGCAGCTGGAGTCGAGTCGGGGAGGAGCAGGGAGGCAACTAGACCAGAAACATATACATACATAATATATGTGTCTAATGTGTCTTTATAATCACGCGCATGCTAAACTTAATGTTCTATATATATAGATATATATTCACATAGTACATATTTTGATATATACCGATGTATATATCTTTGCCACAGATGCGCTATAACAGTTAATGTGTGTGTGTGTGTGTGTCTGTGCCCATGTGTGTGTGTATGTGTGTGCGTGAAAAGCGGTATAAGCTCCCTCGCTCCCCCCCGTTCTCTATTGCAGCCTGCGATTCCATTGTTGTCCATGTTCCTTTACCCGCCGCAGGTGCAGTCCTCCTCCAAACGACCCCTACATCCCCAACGGCACACACAGAACTACTATGAATGTACGTAAAGTATTTCCATTTACAAAATTGTTATGATTTATTTGTTTTTGTTAACTCAAACCTAGCTTTAGGTCGAGCATATATGTATGTACATATGCGTAAGTGAAAAACCGAAACATATTATACACAGATAACTATGAAATCCCTCTGAATTAGCCAGACAAGAATTATAGCAAAAGCCCCAATATCCAACTTCCATCTCTGGCCACAAAATATGTGAAAGAAAGCAATCTGTATGCACTTTTCCTTAGTTTTAATGTATCTCGAGTTGGATTTGAGCGGTTGCGGCAGAATATGCGATGCTTAAGGATTTGTATAAATAGTTAGGCAAAGAGTGCATTCAAAATCAATCTTAATTTTCCTTTACCCATTTGTTCTTTGAATTTGAAACGAATTTGTCACAGATACATGCATACATACATATATCTCCTTAAGATCTGGTGAGCAGAGAAACCCGATTTTAGTTTCTTTGAACATTATTGCAATTCAATTGGGATAATTTCATTGACGATAACCAAAATCTATACTATACTATATGTTATAAGTGTATTAATAAAAAGAAAACAAGAAAACCCCAAAACAAAACCAGGGTAAATGAAAACTGTTTGATCTTAGGAAATTTAAGGAAGGCCTTACCTGCCATGAATTTCGGTCACACTAAACTTTATGTTGAAGGATCATCAATCCATCCAACTTTGATCCAACTGTACGTACATACAACAAGTACCAAGAGTTAAAATTAGGTAACACACCACTGTAGAAAATTGATCTACCAATCGTATGAAGTTATAATTTAAGGGCTGAGAATCCTAACTAGCTGGGTATATTAAGCGGAATATGAAAATCGAGGAAAATGTTTTAACAATGATGGTATATTTGGAAAATGAGGTATGTTTTTGAGGGGCGTGCGGTATATTTGATCGATAACTGCTCGGTCACACTGTACGCGCCCCACAAATAAACATTGCAAAATACCGTACAAAACATCTCCGCATCCCGCGCTTATAATTACTTTTATGGCGCATCAGCAGCAACAAAGACGACGCCCCACCACGGCCCACAGAGCCAACAAAAGACATCAGCAGGAAAGCCGCCGACACTATATTAGCAGCTAACACTGGCACACATCATTACGTTTAAACAAATAGCTTGCCTCCATTTTGCATAGTCTTGTGCTAAAGCTCTCCATTGATTTATTGGATCAAGCAGTGGAACCTCCTCGAGATATTGCCTATTGCCAGCTGTTGTGAGAGCAGAGAGGTACAGAAAGAGAACGAGAGAGAAAAGTGAATTTTGTGCCGGTCAACGTCCTGCGGCGAGGTGAAGGTGAGCGAAAGGACATCGCGCCTACCGGCTTCCCTCTCCCACGCACACGCATACAAACGCTCCCACGTACACACGCGCTTTGGTCTAAAGTGCTTTCCACCACATTTCGGCAGAAAACAAAGTTCTTCAAGATAAGAGAAGACCGGTAAATAACCACAACAGCGTAATCAGAGGTCGCCCCCCGCAACCGCAAACTACAACCAGTAAGCACTCAATCCCCCCGCGAAGCCACAACACACACACACACACGAAATGCGGCTGTTCCCGGTTCGCCTCTCGTCCGCCTCGTCCTCGATGGCGAGCCTGGCCAAAATGCTCGACTTCTACTCGGGCTTCAACCCATCGCCGCTATCCATCAAACAGTTTATGGACTTTGGTGAGTGTTATTAAATATTAATTATTCAATGTGTTTTGTTTAGACACGTAGTCCACGTTGACACGTTCCGCTTTGATCGTATCCGATTTACCTTCCCTTCACTATTGCATAATCGATACTACTGGAACAAAGCAGAAATTATTTCTTCCAAACAAATATTTCTCTTATAGACTTCTAGAACCTGAAAGATTTTCCTCGTTTATGTTTAAAGTTTTGTGGCTAAACTGCGCAACGTTCCCGTTATCTAATGCCCAATTGAATTGTCAATTAAGCAGCTTTTTATTCGTTCTCAGCAAACTGTTGATTGTGCCGGGCGGGGGAGAGCGGTACAGAGAGGGAGGCGCTCAAACAATTGAATACTCAGTTCTGTTCAGTTCAACACGGCCCCCGCACCCGCTGCCCGCTGCCTGTTGAACGGGACGGAAGTTAGAATGAGTCAAGTTGTTGTCTCTGAATATATAAACATGTTTTGGCGATGAAATTCTAGCGCTGGGAAATCAGTTTTCCTGCCCCCATAAAATGTATGGCACGTGGCCTTCAATGACGTTTCAATGTCAGGCAGGCGACTCTGCTATCCCTAAACAATATGGTTACTCCCTTCTAAGCCTCACCATAAACCTGCCCCAACAAGCGAAACAACCCAGAAAGAGCTCGAACACACAAATACACACACACAAACACGCGCACACTGCTACAAAGCCAGCAGCTGGAGTGTCTTTCATAGCATTCAGGCCTTGTTTGCTCGCGTGTTTAAGGTTCTTTCCACAGTGTTCTTGGGGCCTCTAGCTGCCGGCTGCTGCCTCGACATAAATGGCAACTGACTTGCACAGAAAGTCAAAGCCACTTGGCTGGAAAATGAAAATAGCAAGATGGAAGGCTCTTCGCTGGCCCTGCAGAACGATTCTAAAAATACCCTTGCAAATATTATTGTAGTCCAGAATAAGCAGAGTTCTTTTTTTATGATAAACGAGTAATATAAGTGAATATATATGTTGTTTTACACCTGCAGAAAAAATTAAGCGGTTCCAAACATTGCTGACTGGAATGTTCTGGAATGACTGGAATGGTCCTTCCCTCTGCAAGGGTATTCAAAAAACTTGACGGGCCAAGGGGCTTGGTTTTGGGTTCAGGATACTGTGCTATTATCATCTATATTTAGACCCAAACAAGAGGCTCTTGTTTTTATCTCTTTTCACATGCCTGCGTTTGTGTTCTTTAAAAGGCAGTACTTGCTTTGAATGACTTCAATGAAGGGATTCCATTCCTTTTCTTTTTATAAATTAGTTAGTTCTCCTGCACAAGGTTGTTCCCCCACTATACACACCCTTTAACTAGTAAAATTAATAACTAATAAGCGCCTGGCCGGCCCATACTTGAACTTTGAGCCCAGGCGCCAGATAAGGTTTGTTTGTGTTCCATTTGTTTTTGTAGTCAACTGTACCCAATAATTAATTGTGGTGTACTTTAGTGGCTTTACTGCCCGTCCCGTGCCCCACATATACACTGGCTCATAAACTGGGAGTAATTTGGGTTTATATCTATAGATTGGGTGGCAATGTTATTAGTTTATACTTGAATCGATCTGTTTGTCAGTCCCATCACATACACATACATAGTTAGTATATACGAATAATTCAGGTGAGCCATCGATTAACGCCTCCTGGTCTCTGTTTCCATTCTTTCGAACCTGATCTAAGTGTACTGAATCAGGTTCGAGATCTGATGTGCTCAATTTGGACAAGGGTACGAAAATTCACGTCTGCTGACGGGCCCCATTTACACTGCCCCTTTTCTTTTTGAGGGGGGGAGCCTGCTATCGCAAAATGTTTATGGGGAGAATTTATACTAGAAAGATTTTGTTGTGGCTAATATCTGAAGGTTAGTTCGTGCTATCAATGGAAAATCTTAACATAAACATAGGTATAATATAATGGGGGCCGGAATTTTCTCTGAGAGTGATATCTATTGGCAAGGCCCAAGTTGATCATGTGACAATTGGCTGCGTGGGCAACACACAATTTGGTCTCTAAAAAAATATTATTTTTTATATTTTTTGTCATGTGCATAAACGTAAAATATTGTATAATGGAAATTTGTTGATGGATCAGAGCATACAGTGACCGTATTGGGCAAAGTCCAGGATGGTGTCGGCTCTTTTTAACCTACCCACAATTTGGACTTTGTTTTGGCCAGACGAAAAGACAACACTCCACAGATCTCACGGCTAGGACTTTGAACCAGCTAGAACAAAAACATCGAAAATATATGTGAATACATAATATAAACGGCAGACGTCAACAGTTACCGAAAAAGTGTGCACCACGAAGCGAAATAAATACGTAGTCGTTTCCACACGCGCCGTAGTTTGTCCGGGGCGAATGTGAGTCAAGTATACCCGAAATAATGTGACAGAGAGGATAGGCGAGGAGACTCGCACTAAATTGATCCAAATTGAATGCGGAATGATGATGAGTAGGAGCTGATGCAATAGATGAAAGGGATTATCAGGCAAAGTAGATGAAAGGAAAGGCCGGCAAACTGCTGTTGAACCTGATGTAGAGAGTGAGATAGCTGGTCAAAGAGAGGGTCAGTGAAAGAGCGAGGTGTGTCGTCGGCTGCTGCTTCAACATGTTGCTTCCTTCCCTTTCCTTCCTAATGTAATTGCATTTATCGCATTGATAAAGTAAAGTGTCAAGGCTAAGGAAAGTGGGGGAACACAGGGACAAATTGAATTGCATTTCTTGCAGCGGAGGGGAGAACGAGCTTCCGTGGTACATAATTTAATGCACCAGTGATGATTGAATTCCAGCAAAGTAAGGAATTTTCCAAGCGATAATGGGAGATTGAATGTAAGCCAATTTTCAATTCAAATCTCTGCCCTCCCTCTAGATACTAAATGCGAGCTAAGCTTTCAATTTACCGTTGCCATCACGCAACCATTTTTCGAGTGGAAGCTTCTGATTTATATGGCACTCTGGACTGAGGCAATTATCCAACTGTGCAAATGCATATAGTATAAATGATTAATTCGCTTAATACGTTTTCAATTTCCCGCCGATGAAAGTGAGGGTGAGTGGGCCTTATCTTCAGAATTAAAGTGAGTGGCAATGCATCGCAGTGCCAGACGGGGCAGACAAGTTGATCGAGAGAGCTTTGTCTGTATGTTAATTTGGCTTTGACGACAACAATCAAGAAAGTGGTAGAGACAGAGACAGTAATCAAGAAGCAGAGAGATACAGATAGGGCGAACCATAAACAAACAAATAAGCAAGCAAGAAGGTGAGACAGATATGGAGAGCTGCAAACAAACATCTATAAAAGAGAGAACAGAAAAATGGCAAACAAGCAAACAAAAACAACTCATCGAAAAGCTTTATTTTGAGGTCATATCAGCAATCAGTAACTAGCGGGGTAGACTAGTGGAAGTGCGGGAAGTGGAAGTGAACGCGTGTGTTCGATCACCTCACTCTTCAACACAGCTGTATCTCTCTCTCTCTCTCTCTCCACCATTGTTTGATGTGCCTCTCTCCATCTTTGCCTACGTTTCGGGCAGCTTCTGGCAAGTTCTTTCTCTTGGAATCTTGGCGATGTTTTTTTTCAGTTTTTATATCATAAAGTTAAAAAAATATGTATGTACATATGTACACATATTCCGATTTTTACTGTGAGAACGTACGATCTGATAGGATATCAAAAGCGTTGGCCCCCTAATCTGGCCGTCTTCTTGTTGTTTCCGATTTGTTTTTCGGCCCAGTCCATCAGGTTATCGCTTCTCTTCCCGTATTATTTGGTATACGATTAATAACTCGTTTTATTGATTCTGTTTTGTTGGCCTGTTCGTTACAATTGCCTCATCAACGGGGCGGCTCGAGTCCAATTTATGCTTTAGTGTGTACGCGGCTATACATATCCCATTTGAGTATCAAATCTTATATAGTATAGCTTTTGTTTTGTTTTCGTTGCGGGTTTCGAATTTCAATTAAGTGCGACTAATTTTCTGAATGTGCCAATTATCAGTATACATTTTGATGACTCTGGGGCACAATAATCATTAATGAAACAAAAATACCTAAATGCAATTCAAAATATGCCCACAGAAATGGGGGCGTGTCTGACTGGCAGCCGGTCAAGGCCCCTTCGAAAGTTCGTTTTTGTTGAACGTTATCAGTTGTCTGTACGTACGCCTCAATCGGCTGTTTCGTTTGCTTCTTTTTGTTACGAAACTGTTGACAATGGACAAACAAGCAGAAACAGAGAGAAACACACGCACACACACATACAGACAGAGAGAGAGAGATATAGTATTGAAAACAAATAAGAACAAAAGGGAATGCAAAATACTTGACGAGGGCAAAGTTTTCTGTGGTTTATTTTGTTAATTTCTTTGCCTCGAGAGCTTTGAACTTAGGAGGAGCTGAGCTGACTCGCCTTTATAAACATATATGTACCTTATTCATACATAATTTTAGTACATTTGTACCCAAATTGTACTGGTATGTACATATGTAATTTGAGGAAATTGATAATTAATTCAATTGATTTAAGCAAAGGTTCTATTAGTGGCCAAGGCTTATTATTTTTCTTCCATTCTGATCATTTTGCTGCACATATAAAAATGCAGTGTAATGAGTATGTAAACTAATCATATAGAGTCAATAATATAATATAAACTGATTGCTAGTTTCGTTTCGCTGTGATGAACTGAGGCATGAGTCTGTCATTTGCAAGCTCGTGATCAATGCACATGAAACGTGGCTGTATTGATAAGACATCGCCGTACAAACAATACTGTGTACCATAGATCTTGCACTTATAATTTCGACTTTTATAATCTCTATTGTTGTTTACTTTCCAAATCAGGTCAAAATGCCTGCGAGAAAAAGTCGTTCATATTTCTGCGAAAGGAGCTGCCGGTGCGATTGGCCAATATTATGAAGGAGATTGCCCTTCTGCCGGACAATCTGCTGCACACCAGATCGGTCAGCGAGGTGAGCTCCTGGTACGTGAAGAGCTTCGAGGAGGTGCTGGAGTACGAGAAGGCCGATCCCACACACGACAATTTGCACAAGTGAGTCAGCAGATCTTCCGATTTTTTCAGGCCAAGATTTTAATGGTTTGAATGCTTGTTTCAGGTTTGTGCATCATCTGGATCTCATTAGGAATCGGCACAACGATGTGGTGCAGACGATGGCCCAGGGCGTCATTGAAATGAAGGAGAACGAGGGCGGTACGGTAGATGCGCCCACCGAGAGCTCCATACAGTACTTTCTCGACCGGCTGTACATGTCTCGCATCAGCATCCGGATGCTGATCAACCAGCACAGTGAGTAGTCGAGATCACCATCAAGATGATTGATCCACTCAACCTTGTCCTTGCATTTCTGCAGCTCTGCTCTTTGGAGCGAATCCCCACTCGGGTGGCCGGCATATCGGCTGCCTGGACCCAGCCTGTGACCTGTCGGACGTGGTGCGCGATGCGTATGAGAACGCCCGCTTCCTCTGTGATCAATATTATCTGACGAGCCCAGCGCTGGAGATCCAGGAGCATAGCAGCGAGCCGGAGGGTAACCTGCCCATCCGCACTGTGTACGTGCCATCGCATTTGTATTACATGCTCTTCGAGCTCTTCAAGAACTCCATGAGAGCGGTGGTGGAGCATCACAATAATGACAACTGCGACACCCTGCCGCCCCTCAAGGTGGCCATCTGTCGCGGCCAGGAAGACATCTGCGTGAAGATCTCCGATCAGGGCGGCGGCATTCCGCGCTCCCAAACGGACCAGCTATTCAAGTACATGTACAGCACGGCTCCGCAGCCATCCAAGTCGGATTTGCACACGGTTCCTTTGGCCGGCTATGGGTACGGTCTGCCCATATCCCGCCTCTATGCACGCTACTTCCATGGCGACATTGTGCTGCTCTCGTGCGAGGGCTTCGGCACAGATGCCATTATCTATCTGAAGGTCTGCAAAATATACTTCTGCTTGTTATCTGAATATATATATTAATTATGTCTCTGCTTCCAGGCTCTGTCCGATGAGGCCAACGAGCTACTGCCCATCTTCAACAAGACGAGCTCGAAGTTCTATCGCGCGACGGTGCCTACGGGCGACTGGTCCAATCAGGTAAAATACCCCAAAAAGAAGAAGACGAACGCCGTCAGCCAGTAGGCGAGTGATAATGCCAAAAGAAATCGCCTGGCTGTGTAAAAAGTTTGCCCCATCCTGCACCAATCCAATCCAAACCGAACAGAACCCGAACAGCAGCACCCGTAATCGCCTCCAACCCAAAACTCGATCAAGTGAAAAGTGTTTATTTATTTTGTATGTTCATGTTAATGTTAAATACGACCCTTTTTTTGTATGTACCATTTTCCCTTTCATCCCACTGTTGTGATTGTTTAACTTTTATCCAGTTTTTGTCATTTTAACATTTGACATTCCACAAACATTTTATTCACTCCGAAGAAGCTGGGCCCAAGTTCTGTTTTATTTTCGCGGAGACGATTGGAGCGGCAAATACGGTTACATTGGCTTTTATAATTACGTTTCTAGCAATTAAACACGATCTACAAGATATATTTACATATATATACACACATATATACACAAGCACTCAAACAGAAAAAAGATGTTATGAGAAAATTTACGAAAGTAGCTATAATTTGTGGATTTTATTTAGGCAAGAGCCCCAAACTGCATGCAAAAACAAATTATACAATATATTTCTCTTTTGGAGCACACTATTTAAATGTATATGTTAAGTGATGAAAGTTTTAAAGAAATAAACTGTTGAAATTATATATACACACGGAAATACAACAACACCGATTCCTTATGTTTCTGTTTGTGTTTATTGTTTGGTTTTAAAATTAATGTTTCGAAAGTAGGATACAGATCCTGGGCAACATCTTCAGTTACTCCCGTGTTCTCATTATTTCCCTTAATAACAATTGATTCCAAACTAAAGAAATTGCTTGCTATTTTGATTGTTTTTGGTTTGCCTGTACTTCAATTATTATTCTGCTCATAAATAATTTCTTTTTTTTAGAACTTTTCCAATCGTTGGCGTTATATTTATGGTTTTTTGAAAAATCTATAAACCTCTTTGGAATTAAACCAAAACTGATCAATAGTAACACCCACTACCCGAGCTTAGAATCGATATTCTTTGGCCTTATGAAACTCTTTGATTTTCTAGAGCTCGGATATGAATGCCAGACAGCTGTCGGCCACCATACCGAAACGCTACAATGACTTTGTCCAGGATGCTTAAGGCGATTTCACGCACGCAAACTGCTAACAGCTACTCAGGTTAAGGACTTACACATATGACACATGATTCAGGAACAACACAGTTGGATATACAAGGACAGGCATAACGTAGATGTTTTCACTAGCTCTAGGCAAAAACATTCCCAAACTGCAGCAGCAGCAACAGCAAAAGAAGAGAAGCCATCAATCTCTACAAAAAAGTGCTCGTACTCGTACTCGTATTCATGGCAGTAACGTTAGTAAAGTTTTCGTGTTGTTTTCAAAAACGATGGTAAATAAATAAAGCAAAATTCGTTAAAGATCAACAGTCGAGGCGATGGAAGTTTTCTTTTAGGCACTACATTTTATTCTTTACATACACAATAATAATAGTAATAATAATAATAATAATAATTTTCTATATTGCATCGATAACATTAAATATTGTTCATTTGCTGTGCTATACAATAATCGGTTCTCATTCGTTTGGGCTTCTCTTTACAATTATTTTATACAAGTTCTCACATTTAGTTTTAGTTTTAGTTTTATCGCTTTTTCACATTATCACTCTTTAACATTGTTCGCTCGACCTTCATTTAGACTACTTTTCGACAACAGCAACAAATGGGATGATGTTTGTTTTACTCTTTGTTTTTCCTTTGATTTGATCTCTCCAGCTCGGCTAATAATCATATTTATAATTACAATAATAATAGTGGGAAAATCATCATCATAATAATGCAATATAAAATCGACAAAAATCAATGATAATAAATACAATACAATACAAATATATATATTAACAATAATACACATTCTATAATTCGAGTTGGAATGCGTGCGAATCGGAGAAACATTTAGGGGGAAATGTTTGAAACGGATAAGGTTAACGGATAACGATTAAACATCCATCCCATGGGATTAACTGAAATTGCTTTTCCCTGGTGAAATGGCCTTGATAGCACTTCCTTCATATCTACTTCCGCAAGGGATCCAAACTCTCCAGCGAGAAGTCGTCGATGTTCAGCTGATTTTGCTGCAAAAGCGGAAAAACATTCCAATGAATTTGCTATTTTGTGGGGGATGTCAAGAACTCACCTTAAATATGGTCGGGCCATTGCTCATCTCAAAGGGATCCGAGCCGAATAGATCCGTGTTGCCATTCAGCCCATTGCTAGTTGTCACCGAGGTGCTGCGCCTGGGTGCAGCAATCTTTGGCGGCGGTGCCACTGCAATGACAAATTATCCAGTTATAAGTTATACATTTAAGGAATATTTTTCAAACCTACATAAAGGCGGCGTTATGTTTAGCTCGCTGGAGAAGCCACTGCTGTTCATGCTGATGCTGTTGGTGCTGTTTATTAATAAGCTGCTATTGGTAATGTTGTTGTTGTTGGTGCTGTTGCTGTTGGTGTTGTTGTTCTGCAACTTGTGATCGTTGTTGTTGAAGAAGAGTTGCTGGCCAAAGCTCTTGGGTGGCTCGAAGCCAAACAAATCATTGCTGATAGCATTGCGGCCATTGCTGCCATGGCTATCCTGTGTGGACTCTTCCGCGCGTGGATCGAAATCGCTGTCCGAGTCGGAGTTCAGCAGCAGCTCATCCATCTTCTGGCTGTTGCTCTTGCCGCTGATGCTGATCTGGCTAGACAGATTGTTCCGAGGCGGCACAATGGGCAAGAAGGAGCTGGGCGACGTGGAGTGTACCGATGCCGTCGTGGAAATTGTGTCAATCAGCAGCTTATCCTCGTCTGCAACACGGTTAGACAATGAATTAAAAGATTCTGTCGCATTTAATTTAAGCTTACCCAGCTTGCCGTTGCTCAGAGCCTCGCCGCTGGCATCGATTCCATTCTGCAGCTCACTGGAAGGTGGCACCTCCAGAATATCCTTGATGCCCAGTTTAAAGAGCATGGCATCCAGCTCGGCCTTTGGCAATTTTGAGGATAATTCACTCAGTCGCTCCTTGTACAGGGAAACTGTTTGCTGCAGATAATTGATCTGCTGCTGCGCCTTGCTCAGATTTGTCTTCTCGGTGCTGTCCATGTACTTTCTGTAGGCAAAAAACGAATCTCAGTTAAGTTGAAGCTACTCGAATAATTGTTGAGGCCAGAGCCAATCTCACCTGTAGGCCAAATCGAAGGCTTGGCCGATGGTCAGCGTTATGTCCGAGGCCAATTTGTTCGAAATGAAGACAAAGCACTCGTGGCTCTCCTCGGTTTTGGGGCTACCGCTGCCATTGGTGTGGCCATTTGAGGTTGTCGTCAACTCGCCCTCCCGTGTCTTGACCGTTTTGGCAATGAAGCTGAAGAACTTCTTGACACCCTTCTCGTCCGCACAATACGAGATATTGTACAGCGGAAACTGGTGCAGAATCTTGTGGGTGCGCGGCTCCTGGATGGCCACCCCCTTGATGCTGATGGTTATCTCGAGCTTCGTAAACTTCTCCTGGGTGCCCGTGGCCGCCTTCTTCATTTGCTGCGCAAACTGCAGTTTCCTTATGGCTTCCTTGACCACCTCGATGCCCTTGGGTTGGTCCACGCTCAGGTTACCAAAGAACTGCACAAAGAAAGACAAAGAGAGACAATGAATCGGTGTCAGCTGGAGGTCGTCACACTTGGATCTCTGATCTCACTGCATTTTACTCTCACCTTGACTAGATAGACCGCATGTCCGCTGATGAGCTGCTCGGGCGTGTGCAGCCAGTTGCGCTTGCCGCTTTTCGACTCGCTTTTAGAGTCGCCACCGTTGCTGCTGCCGCTGTTGTTGTTTCCGCTGGTGATGCTGCCCTCGTTGACGGTGTCCTTGTCCTTGTCCTGCTGTTGCTGCTTGCTGCTATTTTGCTTATTCCAGAACTTCAGCTGCGCCATCTTGGCAGCCGTCTTGCTGCCCCCGGTGCTTCCACTGCTGTTTGCTGGCTGATAAGGCATCGTCGTCGTTGGCGTCGTCTTTGTCTTTCGAAGCTGCAATCGGAAAAATGATATTCAATTTAAACTTTGACCAGCGCCGATTTTCACATTCATCCCATCATCTCCGTCTTATTTTATTTAAAATTGAATTCCAGCTGTCGCCAGAGCTGAATGATGTATGCTGGCTGCTGTCTGCTGTACTGCTAATTATTGTTATACAACCAACTGAATCTAAATGTATTCTTTTGGCTAATTGCAAATCGTGTTTGCGATGCAGAGAGAGAGAGAAAGAGAGAGGAGAGAAGTCTCTAGGGGGGGGTCACTGAGCGGCAGAGAAAGACACGAATGTGAGGGAGCTGGGGCTTAGGTGCAGCCTCATGTAAGCCAAACCCACACTGTCAACTACGTCAGCGGCAAACCTGTTGCTGGGAGGCAGTGGCACCACCAGGCAGGCAGCCATCAGCTGTCGCCATCAATGCACTTGGACCTGGACATATCCCATACAAGTACATATGTACATAAATGAGTACTTGTTCAGTGTATTTACAGTACGTTTCAAAGCTGGGAAATCACTAAAGTTAAGAACAAAGTCGCAGATAGACACCATCAGATGCTTCGTAAATGAGATTGTATCCCACCTTTGTTATTGAATATCGATGCTTATCGCTTTGAGTCACGAACCGGATAAGAATCATGCTCTTATACGTTTTACACTTTTGTTTATTAAAATAATAACTTGAACTGTGTCGAATACAATTATCAGGGGGAATTTTGTATTAATTCCAAGAAACAGACAAGACAATTTCAATTGCAATTGAATCTTTTTGTAGATTTTTGTTGAATTATTTCCGGTTTATCGCTAGTAAAATATAATAATTGATTTTTAAATGAAATTCGAGATTTCGATTGTTTCCGGGAATCCAATGGATCCACTCGTTTCCCATTCGATTTATTCTTAAAATTATTGTAAGAAGTGTTCCTCAAAGCAATAGGGAAATGCCCTGCAGTTTTGAAACGGACTGTCTGCACGTACAGGTAAGTTCATATGCACATTTGGATGTCATTGTGTCTGCCGCCAAGACAATAAGGCAAAAGTTTTTCAGTGAAAAAACGAAAAAAAAGCAGAATTAGAACAAAGTCGCAAAGCTCGCTTTTGGATCAAAGTCACACCTTGGGGACGGACGCGAGATGTTTTTTGTGGGTTCCCTCTCGTGCAATTCTCACATTTCGTGCCGTCTCATAATTAAGAAAAATCTTGCAAAATTTAATGAAGCTTTTGTGTTATTGTTTTTTGTTGCTATTTCTTTTTTTCTGTGATTGTTTCATGCAGGCTCACATACGGATTTGTGTGTGTACACATATATTTCTTAAGTTTGATTTATTTTGGAGTTGCTAGCGGCATTGAGGAGGGGCAGCCAGAGCAGAGTGTGCGGATGGCGGTGGCATTAGGCAATCACAAAAGCGAAAGCTAAATTGGCCAAAAACGGCCAGAGACGACGACTGCGGGCTCTACGATGACGACAGCGACCGATGGCGGGCTATAAAATACAAAAATTCGAAAATAGCACTACGCCAGAGCTTACAGAGCTCCTAGTAAAAACAAACGTTTCGAATCGAATACCCTGTGCAATTGTGCGCAATTATGGCGGGAGGAGTAGGCACGAAAAAAAACTGAAGCTAAGCAGCAGCAACATTTTCAAACGACGAACAAAAGATAATGTCGACAACTAAACCGCAAAGCACACAGCATACATAAGTACTGGGGTACACAATCTACAAGTGTACAAATGTATGCACACATTATATTTAAGAGATGTCGCGGAAGTCATTCTTGACGTCGCATGTAGATGATTCTCCTCCCCTACATCACAACAATCCTTCTCATCCCGCATCGTTTGGAATGCAGACAGCGTAGGAAAACACACAAAAATAAAGCTTGATATGGCGGCATGGCATCAATAAGTGAGTGCTGGAATGAGCTAAATTAATACTGATAATGTAACAAGAGCTTCTTGACACTAATCTTCCACTTTTATGGGGATGTTACACAGAATGGGAGACATGTACATACATACCATACATACTGTATGCAACAATGAGTTTCAAATTGTCAAACTTACATAAATTATCTAAATATGTAGATGTATTAGATTGTCTAACAACCAAGTAAAATTTTAATTAATTTCTGACAGTTTTTTTACTTTACACTCTGAATTCTAAAACCCTAATATCGCTATTCCTAAGAAAGCTAGATTTCAGTTTTAAAAAGCTATGCAGTCATCACTGAATACCGCAGAGGGAGATTAGACAACGGCAGAGTCGTTAAGTACATCCAATATGTAAATGGCGGTACGAGAATATGCCCGAACATGCTCTGAAGTGGGGCCAGTGGGGTGAACGGCAGGTGGAGGCGGATTGTACTCAAATCCAATTGGACCTGCGCTGTGCACTGACTGTGAAATGATTGTGAACCATTTTCGCTTCTCTCCAGCGTTTCAATCGCTTGTCAGTCATATATTTTATGCACAGCTCTCTGCTGATGTGTTTATGGGTATTTTCTTTCCTTTCCTGCTGAGCAGACACTTTCTTTGGAGCTTCTTTGGGCAACCAACCACACTGGTGGCACAAGCACTCTTCAACAGGTGTTTGCTTTTCGTGGACAGCGACTGTAGAGCATTGCACAAGGCCAGCCAGCAAGTCAGCTAGCAGCAACAACAAACTGAAGAGAGCGGCTTTTTTATGGCAAACTTTCATAATTAGGCAAAGGGGGAAGCGGGGGGCTCTGCGTGTTGTTTGCTTTTGTGCGTGACTATTTGTTTGCAGCAATTACGGGAATGTGTTGCAAGATGGCCATGCAGAAAAAACACACAAGAGATTTCATTGAGCAGCACACTGACACACAAATGCTAATTTTTTAATAATCATTGTATTTGGAGAGTAACTACAGGGGCACTTTTGCTTTTCTTTTACAGCTAACCACAGGTTTAGATCAGCCACAACACGCATACCGTAAATCTCAACAGTCGCAAAGGAGGAGCACAGTTACAAGTGTATTTCACCGCTATTTCTAGAGCGCCACGGCGCCAATCACATACGTACACGACGGGAGACAGCTGCGGACTACACAACAAAAAAGCCCAGCTCCAAGTTTTTCAAGTCGTTTCGTTTAATTCACTTGCACTCGGACACACACACACACTCAAAAGGGGGGAACATGGTATAACTATTTAAGGTTAGCTCATTCCGCTCTACGATCTAGATACGCTTCCAAAGCAACGCTACTACAAGAGGTCGCCCCACCTTATAAAGCTATACCATGGGAGCGCCAGAGAAATAAACAACTTTTCAAATCAAACACTATGAGAGCAACAGTGAGCAGATGAGTGCATTTTTTAGTTTTAATGGTTTTAAGTAGTTTTAAACAAATTCCCAGTTAAACAAAGACATCAGTGATGCACTCTGCAGTTTCTCGCTCTCTACTTCTCTCTTCCGCCCACTCACTGATCGGCGCTCTCTCTACTCTCTCTTTCTCTCTCCCTCTCTCATGACCTGCCTTTCGTTAATGACTCTGCAGAAAATGACGTGTAAGACAAACAAACGTTTAGTTTTTTATAGACGCAAATCCCAAGGAAATTTATCTTTTGAGCGCGGATTTAGTTGCACACTTACTTTAGTTACTTGTTAAACAATTTTCGCTAGTTTCACTCGTTTAAAAATCTGGAAATCTTGGTTTCGTTGTGGTTGCCTTGTCCGTTGATTGAAGAAATTAGTGCAATTGATGCGATGATGGTGCTCTGCGGACGGCACAGATTTTTTATAGTTACACGGACACGCGACGGACGCTCACGGCAATGGCTTCACGGCGGTGGGCAAGGATGCTGCGGGAATGCTGGAAAGGTGGCCTGGCACGGTAAGGCAAGAAGGTGCGGCGACGCAAGCGGCTTGTCGTCTCTTTGTAATGAAAAAAAAAACCGTTTAGTTTTTGCGCGCGCTCTCTAGTCGCGTCCCTCTCTTCTCGTTTTTTCTATTAGCGAACGAACTGCGCAAATTTACGATAACAGCAACCGCAGCAGCAACAGCAACAACAACCACATCTACTACAACAACAATGCGATGTGGAATATCCTCAGCACCTTCACGGTCCGCTGGTTTGTTTTCGATCGCGCCGTCTGCCAAGAGACTGCGGGACTTGATTTTACCAAAATACTGACGGGGCTCTTTCGCCATGGCACGCCAGGGCTACACAATTCTGGCTCTCCTCAGGCACGAAAGACTTGAATGCAGTTGGACAAGAGAAGCCAGATCGAAGCAGTAGTTGCTTTTACTATGAGAGCGAAGCGACTTACACCAGCCCTGGTAGGCAATGTAAAACTTGTTATTGAACCCGAGAATGGGCTAGCTGTACACTCAAATGCTCTACATCGTATGCATTTTCGAAGATGTACCGAGAATAAAACTGTTTGTTTTAAATAACGTACATTTGTTTCCTAATGGTATTTATGTAATATGATGTAAAGGGGGGAAATATTTACTTTTAATACGTCAAGTAAAGATCAAAGATTAAATCCAATATACAGACATTTAGATGTTCATTCTCTCACATGCCCACACGTTTCCAGCGTAGGAGATTAAGCGTAGTTTTCTCTTTTGCGGTCGGAGCTGCGGACTCACTCACACAGGCAGGCGCGGATTTGAGAAAACATATGTCCGCATCGGTGTGTGTAAGTGTGGATATGTCTGCTTGTTTACCTGTTGCTGCTTGTGAATTGTTTTACATTTAGCCAGAAAAAGGTTTTACTTCCACAATTAAGAGAACATATGGACCCAGCTCCAGATTCTCCATTTAAATGGTTTCGACAAATTAATATTGCACCGACAGGTGGGCACAAAGAATGCACAAATAAGCAAAAAACAAAACGAAATGGTCTACATGTGTATTTGTGTGTATGTGTATGTAACATTAGTTTGACGCAAAGACAAAGACCAGGCTCAAAGACAATATTGTCGTTGTTATTGCTGCTTCTGGCAGCCGCAAAAGAAGAAGAAGAAACCAAAAACAAGATAGTAAATCTAGCTGTGGGAGCCGAAGCTTTCGATACCCTTTTAGATTGATCTTCGTTAACCTATTATGTATGAAATAAGAGCGGAATTTAAGTAAAGTTTGACTGACGTTTGGTCGGCGGCGGAGGCTGATCGAGAATGCCAAACATCTGCTCAAAACAATATCACTTCTTGCAAGGAAGGGTATGCAAATATTATTTTCGTGATACGTAATTTCTGGTGCTGTGTGATCGGTTGGAATTGCAATGGAACTGGTTTCCTCAGTCAACCGTATAATGTACGACGAGGATTTCGATTATTTGTTAGCCATATCATTTGCTATCGCTGTAGCCTTTTGTTGACGCTGCTCTTGCTATTGTTTTGGTGCATGCCGTGCATTTTTCCAGCACACATTTTTCCTTTTCTACATTTTGCCACATTTTGACTGCTGTTGGGTTAAGGCTCCCCCAAAAACCGGCTTTGTGTGTAAGAGTGTGCGTACCAGTGGCTGTGTATGTGTGCCAACGGCATCCAACTGCAGTCGGCGTCGGAGTACGGAGCAATGCAATGGAGCTGAGAGCCAAGCACTGTGGAACGGATTTCATTGCAGAGGGGAAATGAAGCCAACAACGAAAATTGTTTGGCAATTAAAATATGTTTGCAGAGATCTAAGGCAAAACCTAGTACGGTCTAGGAAATTTTCTTTACCTGGCTCGACTTATCTCCCACTGTGCCGCTCTTCTGGTTTTACAAGGCCTGTGTCTTATCGCTTCCATCTACATACCTGCGATATTTGCACTGATTCACACACTCCACTCTCTTAAACTACTCTTTCTCTCTCTCCCTCTAACTCTGTTACTCTCAAGCTGCACGCATTTACAAAAGCAACTTACACTGCATGCATGTATTGGCCATTTACAGTTAGAGGCCGCTCACAGTGATGTGGATGCTGCAGCTACTGATTTTATTGGCATTTTCTCTCTCGCTGCAGCTTTATTACAAGTTGCTTTTCCGCCGGCCAAAATAAGAACTTGCATTTTGTTTTTATTAAGTTATTTCCTAACTCTGTTGCCACAGTTCACAAAGTGACTCAGATCATGATCATGTGGGGGGCGTCCAATCTCTATACAGTAAACCAAACGCCCCCTGAAAAGAATGTGATATTATTAGTATAATTAATATATGGGTATTTCATATTGCAATTGCATTTTGATTGGCGTATTTTTATAATCATTATCTTTGCCTGCCGTCGCCAAGGGGGCGTTGACAGCGTCGCAGCCCTCTCCGTAGGAAACACGCGGGCTTTTGTTTTAAATCAAGTTTCGTCGCGCATGACTTTATCTCTGCTTTGTTTTCATCATCGTCTCTGTGTTTTCGTCTTTGGCGACGAGTTCAAAGGCCCAATTAACCAAATAAATGCATAAAACCAGAAAAAGGCATTGCAAGCCTTCTTGAGGAGGGGTGTGATGGGGTGTAGCCAATACCCGGTACTCGCGGAATACAAGGCTATGCATATACATAGAAATATGTACATACATATATATTTACTTCCATACATTGGTATGTGTGTACATCTGTATGTGTGTATTTGTGTAAACAAAACTCTTGGGTGTCTACAAAAGATGGAAAGAAAGGCATGATCCGGCATCCAAACAAGTCCACAATTCATTGTAGGGGGTATCCAACAGTCGAGTACTGATTATTCCCAGATCAGATTATTTTTGTGGCAAAATGTCATTAAATGGTATTGTAAATATTTGTGTGCAGCGATCAAATGGCAGCCGAAGCCAGTTACCAGCAATTCTTTTGGGTCTGGGCTGGTAGAAACGTGCTGGTATTTTTCAAAACCGCCGCAATCATTGAAATTGTGAGCTTGAGCCTGTCTGCTTGCCTGCCTCTATGTATGCGGTGAGTTGGGGTGGAGGGGAGTGGCAGATTCAGCCCCGTGTCATCAGCATAATTTACGTGCCGGTGCTCGAGCGGAGGAACAGTCACGTTTTTGATTCACGCTTAATTCCAAATGTACGGCTCTTATCATACGGAAAACGAGTGAGCCGAGAGGCACCCTGTGCTGAAAAACGATCTCTGGGGGCGCTTTAGCATTGATGGATCTTATCAGTACCCAACACCACCCTGAACGCCCCTTACTCACTTACATACATTGTATGTGCATACATACATACATACATACATCACATTTCAAGTAATTCAATTATTTTGTATATTATTTTCAATGTGCAACAAAAGCGACAACAACGACACATGTGTATGTAGATAGCCAGCATGGAACACTGGCACCGACTGGCACTGGCAATTACACTAGTAAACAGCAAGAAAAAACGCGGACAGCAAACTCACATTATTTGATTGACTTTGGACTCCAAAAATATTTAATGAAATATGTTTTTTATATAGACCGGTTTCGAAAAAAAATAATATCAATGAAAAAAAAACTTTAAATCAGGAAAAAAAGGATGAATTTGTTGACCACTGTTATTCTGCTTCGTCGCCGCACGCCTATTGAGAGAGCGAGATGGCGAAACTTCCGCTTCGCTGCGGAGCAACGGAAAAGGGAATGTTGCAAAGAAACGTGTGGCGAAAGTTTATGGTTTTTATTTTAAGGATTTTCTAGGAAAAAAAAAATTGCGGAACAGCTTACAAAAAAAATGAAAAACCAGTAAACAACTCAAATGCCAACAAATGAAATTTAAAATTACCAAATTCTGGCGCCACAATGATTATAACTAGGTGGCAGCACACTCCAATCAGCTGTTAGAATAATCGATTTATTTGAGTGCTGTGAAGTGGAAGCGCTGTGACCTTTTTCAGCACTAGTTTTGGAGTAACCAAATATTTTCGCTATAGTTTTTTTTAATAATTTCGTGTGTGAAAAAGGAATATTATTGATTTTTTATTGCATTTAATGCATTTGAAGACTGGGACACACCTCAGCCCCCATAAAACGTGCATGCCCCCCGTAGCAAGACGAAAAGTCGTGGAAAAGTTTTGTTTACCTTTTTTCGATATCTATCCCAGAGTTCTGCTCCTACACCTGTGTTGGTGTGAACGCGTGCGACTGTGTGTGCGTGCGAGTGTTGTGTGTGCAAAAATGCAACCGAAAATCGAATAGATGTGCCTCAGCAAGGTTTTTGTTAATTCTGAAATTGTGAAAAAGCCAGGCACATGGAAAATGTGCCCGATGCCAGCTGCAGCGCCTCTTCCCTGAAACTCCAGCGGCAGCAAAGTAAGTGCCAATAGGCCCTGCACCCCGAACAAATACCCTTCCCCATCCTCAGTACTGTGTGTGTGTCACAATCTGCGTTTGTTCTTGTTTTGTCGACCTGATAGCCGTTTAGTGTGCTTCGATTACGCTGTTAACGTATTGGTTTTCCAATTAGTTTTGTTTTACTTTGCTTTGCTTTATTCGCACTGGGGGGCGGGTGGTTGGGGGTCCCGTTAACCCATTGGCGTCAGGTGTTTCGCATTTCGCTTTTATTTTCATTCGTACAGAATATGTGTCATGACTAGGAGGATATTTAAATAGTGCTTACTTATAACTAGCGCTCACAATTGATTGCTCATTAATAATATGCATTATGTGCATACATTCCTTTACTCCATTGCAAAATTCCTTTGGTTCAAATCAGCTGCTTTGTGTAGCTCGATCTGGCAACCTTTTGGCATCTGAAAATTACGCTGCGGATTTCAACCGTTATATTTATGGCTATCATCAATTAACTTAATTATTTACAAGTTGTTAACATAGCCCCCATTCGAAAGCAAGAACTAAATATAGTTGATGGATTGCGAAAATAACCAGACACTGAATCACTGAGACAGCTGAGATCTAGATCATACTTTGCTTAGGTGAGGGGAGGTTACATATAAAATATAATAATCTTTCTGGCTTCCATCATCTCCCCCCGTCTATTGCCAGACGGCACACTGTCATTTTCTTTTTCTTAACCCCCTTTGCTGGCTGCAATCTTTGGACAAACATCTATTGACATATTTATCGAACTCCTGCCAAAAATGTTGCCTGGCAGATCTAACGCTCTTTTGATTTATGCTTCTAATAAAAATTCAATAGACTTGCAATTTGTCGTGTTGCACAGCAACCCAACCACCCAAGGC